TTAAGTCGATTCAAATCACTACCGTGAATGAATGAATTTTCACCCGTACGTCACTTTAAAACAATGGATCTTTAGGTGCTGTCTTAAATCATGCTTTACCACAAGTACACCGTAGAAAGAACGGGACAGTAAGCTACTATATTTTTCAAAATTCGCATAATAGCGATCTGTTTTACAGGCCAAAGTTCGCGCAACGTGTTACTGAGTAAGCGGTTACATGTTTTGGCTCTTCAGTGTATATGACTATATATACATCATAGCTGCCAACTGTTCCGTTTTGAGAGGAAAACTTTTTCCCGGCCTCCCATTAGTTTATGGAATTGTTTGGAGCCTGGTGTTTCAATTTTACTAAGCAAAACTACTAAGTAAAGTGTTTCTTAGCAATAAAGGAAATTTATTGAATGAATGTCCTAAATTATCCAATTTCGACCACGCCATCCCTAGTGATTTTGAGTAATATTTTTCTTCTTAAATTTGACTGAATTTGAATTACACTCTGTTGCAATAAAATATATGCACCCAGAAAAAACTGAGCCACAACTAAGAAATACGGCAAGCCAATGTAGTTTGGCGAGCTGTGTAAATGATAAAACTTGCAGCACCAGTCAGAACTGTGGAGTGATAGAAGGCGGGTCTAAAAGGCGCAGCTGGTAGAGAGCAAAAGGGCTTACGGCGGGTAACGAGCATTTACAATAGCGCTGACGGCTTCGCGACGCGAACAGTTTTCAGACTTTAAGAGTGGTCGCATCAGAGGGCTTAAAGGCCGGTTGGTCGAACAAGCAGATCGGCCAACATATTGGTCGAAGCGATACGGTTGTTGACCGTTGTTGGAATCACGTTGTTGTTCACGACCGCTGTTCAGCGACGTCATGGACAGCCGCCATACCGGCTCAGGTCGTACCCGAGCCACCACTGCTCGAGACGATCACGCAATTAGAAGAGCTGACACGTCCATATCAACAGTTCCCCTATCATCGATTCAATGCCACTGGTCAAATCGGAGATCTCAGGATAGCCAGAGATACGATGCGTAGTAGGTGATGCTGGGGTCAGATCTCGACATCCATTCAGATGCTTGCCATTTACACTCCATCATAAGCGGTGTCGTCTTGCATGGTGTCGCTTTTGCTCAAGCTGGACAGTGTCTGATTGGAGAAATGTGATCTTAAGCGACGAATTACGCTTTTCTCTCAATAACGCATACGTGTCTGGAGACGGAAAGGTGAGCGCTCCAAATTGCCATTTGCTACCAAGCGACGTACAGCCAATACACATGGTGTGACAATCTGGGGAGCATCAGCTGGGGCAGCCATACACCTTTAGTCGTGCTGCGAGGTACTCTGACCTAAGCTAGCAGGTCGTTCAGGTTCTGTTTTCCAGTAGAACAACGCTTATACAGCACGACTTTTCCAACTAGATCTTCGACCCGTTAATGTCCTCAACTGGCCAGCTAGGTCTCCAGACTGTAGCGTATCTGAAATGCTTGGGACAAGTTGGGCAGGCAAATTCAGCCGTGTACAAATATGTCTCAACTCGTTGACCAGTTGCTCCATTTGTGGTACAATCTACCGCAGAAGGACATTGCCAACTTAACAGACTCCATGTCAAACCAAGTATCAGCTTGTAAGCTGCCACGAGTGGTTTTATAACCTACCGATTTTCAATTTATGTGATTTGAATCTTTGTATTACTACTCGTTAATAAAAGGCTTTATTCGCTCCAGTTTTTGGCAATTTGATTATCTACTCAAACACTATACTACTGCCGAGTTTCGTAGTTGTTTGTTCCAATTCTTTCAGGATGTATATATTTTTTGCAAAATATAAAACAACTTTCGACGTGCATATATTTGAATGCATATTAATCTACAGTAGACATTCGTAGAACTTGCTATAAAAATTCAGTCACTCTTTAATAACTTAATATTTGTATTTGATTTTGCTTATTTTGGTAAATAAAAGTTTTCTTCCAAACTCAAGATTTTCTCAGTATAAAAGTGTAAGAAAGTTACAAACTGAAATTAGTCAGAGAACATAAAATTTAGAATATCCGATTTAATATAATATTAATATATTTCACAGAATTATATTATAATTGAAATGAATTTCAATTAATCTGGAGATTAGAAATTATTATATCTTTTGAAATGGTGTTGCCATGAAGTGTAAAACTTCGCTTTTTCCTATTCTAGGTTGGCATTTATGCATACATAGGGAAGTGCTCCTTCAAAAGTTCCTGCAACATTTTTTTAAAAGACTGTGAGAAGGGGGAAAAACATGCACAGTAATGAGCCCTCAAATTATGGCACGCAAGGATGAAACTCTACTGATTACGCCAAACAACTCTGACAAGAACCACCATGAATTTCATTATCTGGTGATACTTTAAAACTTAAGAGTGTTTCTGAATCCCTTAACTCCCATTCAAAAACGCTACATGTATATTCGAAATAACCTTTAATGACTACATATAGACAGGTACTGATTCTTAACTAGAAAGTTCCTCTCCTTTTTAAATTTGTAAGGAAGTAACTATTGTTTTTCACAAACGAGTTTTTAATGTTGCGTGCGTATGGGTTCATATTAAATTGAATGCACAAGTCCGATGAAAGGTGAATAAAATTTATTCTTATCCGAAGAATAAATACAAAATGCTTAAATTTCCTTAGAGAAATTCATACGATATCGCAATATCTCACAGTAGCTATCTTTTAAACTACTAAAACGTTCAACAGAACTTAATTCAAAATAGAGAAAGCTAATCCGATTTCACCGCGAATTCGCTACAATAAACCACAAGAATTAAGCTAACAACAACAGTTTTCTTAACAAAATGAATTTAGGTGTTTTCGCCCAGCTTTTATAAGCTTTTAAAATCACGCATGAGAACCTTTCCGTATTTTCTCGACTCTTCTGGATATTAAAAGAGTACAATTACGAGATATCTATTTATTAAATGCGCGTGCTCCTGTATTTTTAATTTTTCTGGCGTAGCTTTCTCTTTAAGTAAGTCTCTTGCTGCATTGCACGGTAATATAAAACAATTTTAATTAATTATATTTAAAAATAGCTAAATCAATACAAAAACAGTAACATTATGTTTTGGAGCTTTATTCTCACTCCTCGTTTCCGTTTCCTTACCAAAATGTAAACGAGGAGAAAGAGATAGTATTTAAAGGAAAGTTTTAGAATGATAGAGCGTATTCTACCTGCTCTAGGCCACATTACTAGTTTGCTATCTTCAAATAAGAGTTCCTGTCTATGGAATTAGTTATTCTTGTTGGCTGAGTTTCTAAGCACCATGATTGCCTACTGTTCTATAGTCTGAGTTTAATAAAAGGGTCTACTACACCCTCCTTTTGTGTTATAATACTTTCTACAAGACATAGCGATAAATTGCGACTTAGTTACGAGTTTAGTTAGTGTGCACTACATATTAAACTCTACAGTGACTACATATTAAACTCTACAGTGACTACATATTAAACTCTATAGTGACGCCCGAAATAAAGTAAGGACCATGGCATTAGGAAGATCAAATTTTAATCTGGCCCCCTCTGCGTCGAAAGCTCTACAGGCACCAGTTAATTCCATGGAGAGGTTTGGTTTAATTGTCGATATCATGCGGGAAGTCCTGAAGCCGGCAGTGACTTTTGATATCAGCAGTTCGGTGAATACCTTGCTTGAGCACTTAAATGCATATTTTGTATACCGAGTATTCCAGTACCGGAAATTCAAAAAGTACCATAACAAATGCCGCTGTAAGGCAGACTTTAAACTGGTAGAAGTGTACCAGCAAATTTTCATTAGGCAATCCAGAAAATGATCAGCGACACAGCCTTCAGGTTATCAGGCTATAACAGTGGAGACAGCTTCATGGCAAAGTGCTAGAGTACTGCTCCCAACTCTGCTCGGTCGTTCTCGGAACTCCACGTACTCTCGACTCTTCATGCTACAACTCGCGATGCACTCGACGATACACTACAGTACAGCTCCAGACTCCTCAGTTCAGTCAATCCCAGAGGTCAACACAATCTAAGATAAAACTTGATGATGCACTTGCTCGCGATATACTAAGAGACTCTTTCGGTGCACTCGACGACCAATTCGGAACTTACCGACTGACTATCAACTCGATGGACTCTCACTAACTGACTGACTCTCCGCGTACCAGAAGGGTTTATATAGCTTTTGGCTTTTATTCGAGAACATTCTGGGGTAAACCAGTAAGAATTCATTCCAGAAAGTTCTCCATCCGTCTATGGCATATCGCCAAATGGGTAATTTCTCACCAAATATGGCAAACCTGCCTTCCTTTGCCATGTTTTAGCAACCCTAAACCTGCCTTGCGGGGAAGCTATCTTACTGCGCCTGGACATTTCATAACAATATATTAATTAATTGCAATCTAACCATAATTATGTTATGTAATTATTATTATGATTAAAGTATATGATATAATATTGTTATTTATATCATATACTTTAATCATATATACCTTAACATAATATATTCGTTAATATGAAGATGCTATAAAGCCATTCAACCAGGATAGTGGCTAGTGAAGCTGACTGCTGTACCGAAGGGCCCGGGTTCGAATCCCGTAGAAGATATGGATTTTTGTAAATGTATAGTATCTGTGCAACATGGGGCACTCTAAATATGAGATGAGCCAAAAGTCCTCTCAAAAGGTTAGTGGTAGGGGAAGAGGGGTAGGAGGTCCTTCAAAACTGGCCCAATCTGAGCAAAATTGTACTGTCACCTACATGGTGCTCAAGGCTCTTGCTAGGGGCAGACACAATCTTGACCCCTTGCCACGATCATGGGGGCTTGCTCTGATCTGATGGTATTGTTGATCAGGGGGAGGATAAGCCACAAATAAACAGATGCTGTAATAGACAGAAGAACAATATAACCATCAGAGTAGTAACGGGCAACCCCCTCCCCCAATATTCTGATTTGGCTATGTCATGCATTAGATACAAAATAAGCAATAACAAGTACTTTATATTTTAACAGTTTATTTTAAATTCTTAATCTGATATACACAAAAAAATTAAATTTCAAAGACATGAACACATAACATGTTTCAGGTAGAGAGAAATACAGAACAAAAGTAAGTAAAAGGAAATAATAATAATAATAATAATAATAACAAATGTATTTTAATTATAATTTCATATAAATGCATACATTTTCTCACATTAACAGTTAGTTTAGATATTTTTAGGAAAGTTAGCATAATCATACTGAAGCCATACTTTCATAATAGCTATTAAAAATTTCGAACCTTAATCAATATTATTAATAAATACAAAATTTACTGAATTAATTAATTTTATAACATGTAAAATAATAAAGCTAATGTACCAAACGAAATATGCATTCAGTTGTGTAGACTCGTAGCATTTTGCAAATCTATCAGTTTTTTCAGAATTTCATTAGTAAGAATATATTTTTGGTCTTTCCAAATAAAGTAAAGTGGTACATCTTCTGTTTTATTATCCTTATATATAAAGTTTTGACTTAACTGAATTGCTAATGATGATTTTATTAAACCAACGCCTCCAGTTGCTTCAGGCCCTGGATGGTAAACTCGTCCTGTTTCGGGCAGCATACATATCTTCTCTGGTTCAAATTTTACTTGTAACAGATCTCCAGCATAAGCATATGATAAATAATCAGCTGCATCCCGCTCTAAAATGTGGGTAAATACAATTGGCACATCGTCACATCTTACAAAGTTTTTTTCTCTACCACATGGGGAATAATATGGAAATTCTTTTTCATATTTACCAGTATCATTCATTCGCAACCTTTTGAAAAAAAATTCTAAAAATTTCTTATCTGAAATACAATCAAGCAAAAAGGTCATTGAAAATAATCAGAATTCTAAAACCATAATACAGTAGAACTCCAAACATCCAGACAATTGAGTATATAACTTAAATTATTCTGTTGGCCAGCTATGTATTCCTGTAATTGTAGACTGTACACAATATTAACTTGCCAATTACTGACCAAACAATACATCTGTTGATTAAAAATTAATCAGAGAAAAAAATTACCCCCAAGAATTTAAAAAAAAAAAAAAAAAAAAAAAAAAAAAAAAAAAGTGATATTCTTAAGTACACAGACATGCATCCTCAGATGTCTCCAAATAATTAAAGTAGCATATATTGGAAGTTAAAGAGTACAGTTCAAATTAAGAGGGCCATGTTGGAATTATAGTTAAGAAAATAACTCTTATTCATAGTCTTTTTAGGAACTTTAAATATTCAGAATCAAATCCTTGCACACTTGGAGGGTTGAAGGCTAACGGAGAACATTTGAATGCATTTGTGCCTTGCGAGACAAAAAGAGTATTTGTGTATTAATGCATCTACATTGGCAAAGTTTTGTATTTTTTTAAAAGAAAAAAAAAAGAAAAAAAGAAAAGAATAATGACGCATAATTGAAAAAAAAAATATATATGTTTTAATTTTATGTATATATTTTATGTTTTCTTCTGTATTTGTAAAAAAAAAAAAAAAAAAAAAAAAAAAAAAAAAAAAAACAACAATCAATAAACCTGCTTATATGCAGGTTTTCTTTTGTTATGGTAGAAATTCCACAGTGCTTATTTTAAGAATAGATTCAAAGCAATAGTTTCCTCAACAATTTTATAGCAAAATACTATATTTCAACAAAAATTTTACTACTTTTTACCACTGCAAGCAAATCTAACAACCATGTTAGTTATAAAATTAAATTTAAGAACAACAACAAATACGATTTCTCTATAAAAAGTTGGAATATAACTAAATGGACAACTAAAAAATAGTTTGCTTATTAAAACTAAAGAATTGCCATAGGCAAGGTTGGGCAGAGTTTTGCATATTTCTGAAAATAGGGTAACTTCGCTTAAAGTAGTTGCATTAATACATAAGTAATATAAAAATTCTTTGCCTGCAGAGGGAATGGACATAGGGCCAGCATCAGAGCAGTGGTGCAATTGCAACGAATGGCAGAATTTAGAGGGGCTAAATGTCACAACTTAGGAAGGCACTGAGTGGTAGAATTTAGGAGCTGCTGAGATTACACAGTGCAGCAAAAAGCCTAGTGCTGGCCCCACATGGAAATATACCATTTTTTAAAAAATAAAGTATTTGTTATGACCAAGCAATGAACTATCAAGGAGAAAAGAAGTATGCATATATGCAGTATGTAATAGTTTTAATCATTAATATATATGTAACAGATATTTGTCAGACAAACCAACCTATTACAGAAATCCATCTTAATGAATTTGATAGCTTTTAAGTAATATAGTATGAATTTAACAGTTTCTCAGTAAAATGATACTGTATGGTACTATATTACTTAAATGAATTACACATTAGAAATAAGCACTTAAATTAACACCAAGGTAAATTCTACATGATCTCGAAAGAACATGTAATCTAGAGTATGGACAATTGGAGTTTTACTGCACTCTGAAAATTATCTTTATTTCATAAATTTATCTTAAACAATGCATAAAATGTGTTTTATGCAGAATTTATCAATACATTGGAGTCTAGATATAATATCTTTTCAATAAACATTTAAATATATTTTAAAATACTTTTTGTTGTTGTTCCAATATTCTTGCATATTTAGAGTTTAAGGTACTTGCGTATTAGTGCAACCACTTTGGTGCAGTTTGGTGTTTTTTTAAAGAAGAAAAAGGTAATTCAGTGAATTTTCGGATTGCAACTTATAATGGATATGGTTACCTAAAGAACTGTTATTGCACATGGTTGTCAGAGTTTGTTGACTTCTACTAAGGTTGTTGTAATAATATGCAAGTACTGAGTTTAGTTTGAAATATGACTAACCAATGCTCCATTGTTATGTATAAAAATATGTAAATATAAAAATGAGTTACAAATATTAAATCTACTTATGAATTAAATTTCTAATTTGATATATAGCAGAGTTATTCACTGCAGCTGGTGGTTTATGAAGTTCGCTTTTGAAACTATAGTTTAATAACTAGAAACATGTCTGCCTCCACAATGAAAAGTTTTATCAACAGAATTTGCAGTTAAGGTGCTTAAAAACATTTATAAAACTCTTATGCATGGATTATGCAATTTTCATAAATATGTTGGAATAAAGCTACAGTCAAAAGTCGTAAATTCGGACACCCATAATCTGGAATGATCTATAATCCGGACCTCAAAGCTACAAACTTTCTGCGCATGCGTCAGTGCATAGGCATTTACATGTGCGCATGACATTTACGGCTGCGAATATGCTTTGTGCACATGCGCATAATAGGTATACGCATGCGCATTTAATGTATAATGGACAGTATAAGCTAAGCTAAAATTATCTAATTCAGTTAATGTTGCAGATTGCGTTGTTTCGTAATCTTCGAATTGGATCCGGCTTATTATTTTTTGCAGACTGTTAGGGCAATTTTATAAAAGTAAGCTTGAACTTTCGATTATGTCAAATAGAATTTCCGATATATATTTACTAATATGTAAAGGATCTACAAAGCGAAAGTATGTTTCGAAGTCCATTAAACAGAAAGTGGAATTGCTGCAAAAAATGGATAAAGGCATATCCTTTGATTATCTAATCATTCCAAAACATGTTTATCAATTTCACGCTGCTCTGCGGGGGAAGGGAAACGATGCGGCGCGCAATGAATTGGAAGTTGATCTGTCAGCACTATCCTTATCTTCAGGGCAGATGTTTTTATCTTATTTGGCTTATAATTCCTTACTAAATGAAGTATTTCATCTCGATGTACTCTGTCTTTGATATGATTTAAATCAAGTTCCTCATCATTATAATTCGCTTCCGATAGTGAAGAACGTGATACAGAGGCTATTGAAAATGAAAAAATCTCGATTGACAAATTAGTCGGTATTCTCGACACAGCAATTATAGGACTTGAACAGCGGAACTTTGTAACTAAACAAGAAATTATGTCTGTTTAACAGACTAAAGAGAAAGTATTATCACGTGAAATGAAACAACTTAAACAACTTACATTGAAAGAAATGTTTAATAAAGTAAAAAAATAAATATTAAGCTTTTCCTTTTTATAAATTTTGATACACTTTAGATCATAATTGTTCTTTATTTCATAAATTAGAGCTTCATATTTTTAATTTTATAATTTCTGCATGCCATCTTACCAGATTTAAACTGATGATCTATAATCCAGAATCGCCGAAGTTCCAACGAGTCCGGATTAACGACATTTGACTGTATCATTAAGGTGGCCTCTGGTTTAACGACATTTGACTGTATCATTAAGGTGGCCTCTGGTCAATGCAATGAGATAGTCAAGTTTTGAAGTTTCTTTCCACTTTTACCAGCATATCAACAGTATGTTGTCGATAACAGATTGAATATTGTTCTTCAGTTCAGCCAGGGTCTTTGGAAGTTAGAGATTTCAGACAGCCCCACAAAAAGAAATCACATGGGGCTAAATCAGGCGAGCGCTAGTGCTCTGGCCACTGAAGATCGCTTCGTAAGGAGATCAGGCGACCAGGGAAATGTTCTCCAAAAAACCACGGTCCAATGATGCCTATTCTGGACAATGGACCTCAAACAGTCACACGTTCTGTACAAAGGGGCTTCTCATGAAGTTCTCGAGGATTCGTGCCACTCCAGTAGCGCATGTTTTGCACTTATTCACTCAACTGGAAAGATGCAAATGAGCCTCATTGCTAAAGGGGATCATGAAGCACATTGCCAAGAATGGTATCGTATTTTTTTTAAAAGAAAATCACGTGGATTAAGTTTTTGCACCATTGCCAATTTATATGGATGAAATTTATATTTTGTTTATAATTGGATGCCCCTTGGTTTTTTGGTGATTCGGCTAATCTTCGAATTATGGTAACTTGGCGATTTTTTGGCGACCAACCTTGCTACTGCAACCTGCTAGTTTTGTTTTGGATGCCATTTTGTTTTCACAAAGTAAAGGCTTTTTTTTTTTTAAATTTTTTTTACTCAACATTTTTTTTCAACAATCTGCTAGCCGAATTACGCTTATGCTAGAACTTTTATGGAACAAAAGTGCTTAATCATGGCGAAGATCAGGTGCGAAATTGGGAGAAAGTGCAGAATCGCCCACTGTTTGCTGCGTTTTAAGAATTGCACTTATACGGTATCTACGTACACGTCAACCTATTTTCACTTAAAAAAATATCCCAGAATTGCACAAAAATGGCATTGTGTACACTCTTCACCTTATCCATGTACACTGCTGAAGTCCTAGCTAGTAATCTTTATTGCCTTACCAAAATGTCGCCAAACTTCCTGTTACCATATTCCAAAGATTAGCCAGCGATTCTTTTTTGATGCCAAGATTGATGACAGGAAGGAACAATTTCAAGATACCGCTACACAAAATTAAAATAAGAAGTCAAAGAATTGCACAGAGTCAGTGTCCATGTACACATACATATATTTTCACTTAAAAAAAAATCAGAGATTTGCACACTGCCTTAACTTTGTTCATGTACACATCGATCTATTTTCACTTAAAAATAATCAGGAAGCTAAAACAAAGTTAAAGCTTTCATGGTACCAGAAATGGGGTTTCATCGCCAAAAGTGAACAAAATTTGACGATAATCGAAGGAGCACCCAATTCTACACTAGAGCCTCAATCAGATAGTTTTATGTAACTGTTTACAGAAATGGTAATTTTATTGTTTAAGTGAAATGGTGTATTTAGCCAAAGCACTTAATATAAACTGATGCTGTTACTTTTTATTGCAAGAGATATATACAGTCAAAAGTCGTTAATTCAGACACCCATAATCCAGAATGATCTATAATCTGGACCTCAAAGCTACAAACTTTCTGCGCATGCGTCTGCACGTAAGACCTTTACGGCTGCAAATATGCATGTGCGCGTGCACAAAATACGTTTACGAATGCGCGTTTAATGTATAACGGATGGTATAAGCTAAGCTAAAATTATCTAATTCAGTTAATGTTGCAGATTGCGTTGTTCCTTAATCTTCGAATTGGATTTGGCTTATTATTTTTTGCAGACTGTTAGAGCAATTTTATAAAAGTAAGCTTGAACTTTCGATTATGTCAAATAGAATTTCCGATATATATTTACTAATATGTAAAGGATCTACAAAGCGAAAGTATGTTTTGAAGCCCATTAAACAAGAAGTGGAATTGCTGCAAAAAATTGATAAAGGCATATCCTTTGTTTATCTAAACTTTAACATTTGTTTATCTAACTTTGTTTATCTTTAACGCCGCGCGGCGCGCAATGAATTGGAAGTTGATCTGTCAGCACTATCCTTATCTTCAGGGCAGATGTTTTTATTTTATTTGGCTTATAATTCCTTACTAAATGTAGTATTTCATCTCGATGTACTCCATCTTTGATATGATTTAAATCAAATTCCTCATCATTATAATTCGCTTCCGATAGTGAAGAAAGTGACAGAGGTTATTGAAAACGAAAAAATTTCGACTGACAAATTAGTCGGTATTCTCGACACAGCAATTATAGGACTTGAACAGCGGAACTTTGTAACTGAACAAGAAATTACGTCTGTTTATAGAATTAAAGAGAATGTATTATCATGTAAAAAATGAAGCAACTTAAACAACTTACATTGAAAGAAATATTTAATAAAGTAAACAAATAAATATTAAGCTTTTTTTTTTTTTTTTTTTTTTTTTGTAAATTTTGATACCCTTTAGATCATAATTGTTCTTTATTTCATAAATTATGGTTTTATATTTTTAATTTTATAATTTCTGCATGCCATCTTACCAGATTTAAACTGATGATCTATAATCCGGAATCGCCGAAGTCCCGACAAGTCCGGATTAACGACTTTCGACTGTATTCAGTTTATTCTTATTCAGATTTTGATTTATCTCCAAACTTTATGATAAACTGTTGGCTTACTTTCTTTGATTGTAACCTGACACCTACAGTTTTCAGCAATTTTTGTAACCAGTATATCAGGTCATAAATAAAAGATCCATAAAAGAACTGCAATTATTCAATCAGAAATTCAATATTTTTTAAATACATACCTTTGAAACACGAAGTAAAATTTTTCATCTTTGAATCATCCAAAAAGAGCTACAAGAGATAATAGCACAAAATAAATATTTCAAGATTTAAAACATAAAATTTACATACTCGTTTCTATTTCCTATCAAAAATCAATATTCTGCAAGTATAATCGATGATTAAAATTTTAGAATAACAAAAATATATAGCTGACCCTTGAGAAGAGGGATTAGAGGTACTGACTGTTTACATCATTCAAAAATTATACTTAATTTTTTATTACCCAAAATACATGAAGCTAATTAAAATATGTATTATATACCATAATCTTAAACTAAAATAAGAATAAAAATAATTATTGTAAAGAAAAGAAAAATTACTTTAATTATGTGTTAGCTGATATCCAAGTTTACATTCTTGATTTGCAAAATAACTGTCTGTCTATCAGTAACTGTATCAGTATTGTTTTACATGATACAAATACGTCATATAATACGTTATCTTTTCTATATATATTATGCATTTATTACGCACTACACTCTTTTCTCTTCATTATTTCTGGCTGGTTCGGCTGGAAGTTATTTTAAGTATTACAAAAATTTACATACAATTTTCCAGTTTTTTGACTGGGGATGTATAAGCGGAGCTTTGCAGTAGTTTTTTAAGCGCGCGTTGTTCAAGGGTCAACTTAAAACCGTATCGAATTCGAGATATAATATAATAAGAAGAAGCAAATATTTTAATACCATGCCATTATGATCGATGAAATAAAAATATTCCCGAGTGTTAGGTTCAGGGCTTTGCCCCTGAATGTAAGACACATATCTGAGATCTTTTACAGAATTTTGAATCAATCGGTTAGATAGCAAAAGAAACAGTTTTTTATAATAATGTTCGATCATATTTAAAAATTTCCAGACGTAGTGCTAAGTTTAAGAAACACCTTTTTAGTAATTATTTATCAGACAACGTAGTTTCACACGATGTAAACAACGCAAACATTGCCTGCCCTTTAAAGTCGAGAGACAGACAGACAGACAGACAAAGTAGACAGATGTCTTGTTTTGCACCCTCTAAGTCTTTCTGCACCGATGGGCTAATAATCAAGCATAGGTGCGAAGGAAAGGTATGTAGAAAGGGGGAAATTTCGTATTTGAGGAGAGTAAAAAGGAACTTCGTACATTTTGTATGAGTTCAAAAGGCCAGGAAAAAAGATAGGAAAAATAAAATTTAAAATAAATGGCCCAAAAATAATAAGAGGGGGGGAAAAAAAGGGCCTATAGAAAGAAAAGGAAAAGAAGTAGAAAATATCCTAAAATACGATTGTGTCCATGAATGTAGTTAAAAGGAGAAGAAGCTGTCTTCATTTACAATAAATAGTGTCTCACAGGTGTGTGTGTGTAGTGAGTGTGTTTGGTAATGGTGAATAGTGAGTGTGCTTGGTAATGGTTACTAGGAAAAAAATTATTGACAGTGTTAAAATGCTTTGTATCAAGGTATTTAGCATGGAATACAAAGTAATGTGTATGCTTGCATCCTGAGACATCAACAAAAGTCATCAAACAAAAGTATATATTAATTTAACTAAAGTAACTTATGCTATTTTTTCCCAAAATTTTCATACATTTTTCAAAAAACAGCAGCAGACAAACAAACATAGAACCATATACAATATAAGACCACAACCGCACACACAAACACAATATATATATATATAGTGTGTGTGTAAATTACAGAGTATATGTATTATTAAACACAAATTAAACATAGTATTTATTAATTTAACTATCATAATTTATTACAAGATTAATTATTTTACTATCATAATTTATTACAAGATTAATTATTTTACTATCACAATTTATTACTAGTTAATTAATGCTAGTATAACACAATGAGGCACACTGTTATTTATATAAGCTCATAGTTCTAAGAATTTATTTAAGGCAGTGAAGAATAATCCGTCTCTTACATATGGACATTTAACAGATAGCATGGAACAGTATGAGAAAAAAATCGGTGAGGTATAATATTATTTAAAGGCGAAAATATATTTAAGCAATCTAAAATAAAAGAGAAACCAGAATATCCGAGAGGGAAGCAGCGCGATGCCCCGAGTTCCCAATTTTCCCTCTCACGAGATTCCTCGGGGCCTTTGTAGGTGGTGACAAACGTGAACTGATAACGTTGGCGTCTCTTTGGAATTGTCGCGCCACTATCGAACTCCATGAGAGGTAAGTTTCTCTGTTACGGTATGGCAACGAGAGAGATTGTTGTTCAAAAGATGGATGATCGAACTGCGTTGTAACGATCATTTTTGAGGATGTTGCGTACTGTAAAATGAACTTATTACACTGTGCTAAATAGTATTAAAATGCTATATATTAAAAGATCTTTCATCTGATCTAAATTTTAACAAACCGCTCATTATTTTCTCTTAAACTCACAATGTTCACGACATTTCTGGCGCCCCCGGGTGGGCGTGTTTGTTGGAAACATGTCGGATGAAAGAATAGATAGGGTAAGTTGATTACCTTATACTTCCGTTTTTAAGTTATTGATTATTGTTTTACTGAAGTTTAAAATACTTTTTAATTTTTATCTGAATATTTTAAACTTTTAAGACAAAATGGAAGTGATGAAAAGAAACAAAACTGCGCAACGTTCAGCTTTTACTAAAGCATATAAAAGACTAGATGAACTTTTAAATGATGATAATGTTGATTATGAAGAAGCAGAAATGTGCTTTTATTTGTTCAAGAAAAAGGCAGAAACATTAGAATTGACGCACGGTGCTTATTTAGATACTATAACTGATGATAAAGAATTCGAAACAGAATTTGAAATAACAGAGGACTATCGAGAGAAGGCTGTTAGGATACAGTTAAAATCGGAACGATTTCTCGATAATATTAAGAGTAAATTAAACGAAATCCAAAATACATCGTCAGAGAGTAGTCAGAAATTAGTTACTGATGAAAATACATGTAAAACTTTGTGCCAACGCCTACCGAAAGTAGAACTTTATAAGTTCGCAGGTGATTTAAAAAATTGGCTTACGTTTTGGAATCAGTTTAAAAACATACATGAAAATAATAACTTAACGAATGCAGACAAATTCCATTATTTGATACAGTCAACAAAAATTAAATCAGAAGCTAGAGATATTGTAGAATCTTTTCCGGTGACGAACGAAAATTATCCTTTGGCTATAGAAAGCCTTACTGAGAGATATGGGCGTAAAGAACTTTTAATTGATTTTTATGTTCGAGAGTTAATAAAACTTGTTTTGGATAACGCAGCGAAAAGGAAGCAGGATTCTTTGAGTAGTTTGTATAACAAACTTTCAACACAACTTAGAGCCCTGAGCAGTCTTGGTGTGTAACGACTGATCAGTGTGGAACAATTTTATATCCTCTTGTGGAAAGTGCTATTCCTATTCACGTATTGCGATCGTTTGAAAGACAACGAAAAATTACTGAATCTGAACGAAACATTTCGAGTCTTGATGCAATAATTGAATTTCTGAAAAGCGAAGTTCAGTCAGAAGAAAAAATAAAATTAAGCAGAGCGGATATTTTTTCTAAGTCTGATCGTAAGCACTTGGCAACTAGCCAAAATATTCCTTCCGCGTCGGATTTGATGAATCATGAAGCAATACCTTCTTGTTCGTTTTGTTTAAAAGATCATGAAACGCGTAATTGTAAAAAGGCGTTTTATATTCCGTTAGATGAAAAAATGTCTGCGGTAAAAAAGAAAGGTTTATGCAGAATATGCTTGGTTAAAGGTCACCTCAGTAACCAGTGTCGATCAAGTGTTAAGTGTCAGATTTGTTCAAAAAGGCATTTGAAATTTTTTTGTCCTAGTCTTGAATGTAATAAGTCTAGTGAAATGCATAACCAGGAAAATGATGAGAAAAAAGAGAAAACAATCGATTCTTTGCATTCGCGTGCTACGAATGAAGTTTTCCTTCAGACCCTAGTTGTGAACATAGAGGGTAAGAATAAAAGGCGTAAAGTTAGATTAATGATTGATACGGGTAGCTCAAAAAGTTATGTCTCAAAAGTCTACTGCAGAAGAAATGGGTTTTGACTTGCAATGGGAGGAAGAATTTAGTCACTCTTTATTTGGTGGAAAGAAAACTGAAATTTATAAACATCAATGTTACAAGATTTATTTGAGTAGCCTTGATGGTAAATATTCGTGTAAATTAGATGCTGTAGACCATGATGTTATTTGTAATGATATTTCAAGCATAAGATACGGTTCTTGGATTCGCGAATTAGGAAATAAGGGAATACGCTTAACTGATACCCAAGGGAATCCAGGCCCTATTGAAGTACTGTTAGGGGCAGACGTTGCAGGGAAGTTATTTACTGGCAAACGAGAAGAACTAAGAACAGGTTTAGTGGCTATAGAAACAAAATTGGGTTGGACTTTGATGGGTAAAGTACCTCAATCCGAACATCAGCACAATGTAAATATGACTATAGTTTCTATGTTATCTCAAGAAGACCTGCCTATTTCATCGTTGTGGGACTTAGAATTATTGGGTATCCGAGATCCTGTTGAACAAAAAACTAAAGAAGAGTCAAGAAGAGCTATTATGGTTCATTTCCAAGAAACAGTTCGTCAATTAGAAAATGGTAGATACGAGGTTGATATGCCTTGGAAGATTGAGCATGCAGTCTTACCTGACAATTATGACCTATCTTTGAAAAGACTCGAATCTACTACGAAGAAGTTGGAAAAAATCGGATATCGTGAAAGGTATCATGAAGTCTTTAATGAATGGCTGCAGGAAGGAGTGATTGAAAGAAGTTCCCCAAAAGGAGTTGTCTTTACCCGTTGTTCATTACCTCCCACATCGTCCAGTCATTAAGGAAACGTCCTCACTATCTTCCATGAAAATTAGACCCGTTTTTGATGCTTCGGCAAAGCTTTCTAATCAGCCATCTCTAAATGATTGCTTAGAGACTGGAATTAATTTGATTGAAACTATTCCGTCTATTCTAGCAAGATTTCGCTTACATGAAATTGGTGTGATTTCAGACATCAGAAGAGCTTTTTTACAGATATCTCTAAATGAAAGAGATCGAGATTTTTTACGATTTCTTTGGTATGGTGATGATGGTAGAGTGAAGACATTTCGTCACACCCGTGTGGTATTTGGCATTACTTGTAGTCCATTTTTGCTGATGGCGGTTATTGACCATCATTTATCCAAAGAAACGTGGAAAGAAAAATATTCTGAAGAATTTCTTAAAAAATTACAAGATAGTTTTTATGTCGATAATTGCGTAACTAGTGTACAAAATAATGACGAACTAGAAATATTCATCGAATCTGCAACTAATGTAATGAAAGAAGGAATGTTTGATCTCAGAGGATGGGAAAGTTCTGGCATTCCTGCATTTTCAGAAAGTAAAACATCACCGGTATTAGGACTGGTTTGGGACAAAGATTTAGATACCTTAGGAAATAGACACCGAATTTTTGAAATTTGATGAAAGAGAAAAAGTAACTAAAAGGAAAATGCTTTCACTAGTTAGTCGAGTATTTGATCCCATAGGTTTCCTTGCACCTGTTATGATTCAGCCTAAGATTTTGCTGCAGGCCGCTTGGAAGAGCAAAGAATCATGGGATGATGAAGTGAATGATGAAATAAAGAAGAATTTTTTAAAATGGGGAAAAAAAACTGAAATACCTCAAAAATATAAAAATTCCAAGATGGTTAGGTGTGATGAAGGAATCCAATTTAAGTATCCATACTTTTGTCGATGCCAGCAAGACAGCTTATGCGGCATGCATTTTCTTAAGAAGTGAATCCAGTATGGGTTCAGTGACTGTTCAATTACTTCAAGCCAAATCACGAATAACTCCAACGAAGACTATTACTATACCACGACTTGAACTAATGGCTGCTACCATAGGTGCTAGGCTGTTTAGTTCTGTGAAGCAAGCTCTAAAACTTCCCAACATCAAGACTTACTTTTGGACAGATTCTTCCACAGTTCTTGTGTGGATAACTCGTCGAGAACAGTGGTCGGTATTCGTTACAAACAGAATAAGTGAAATTAGAAAATTGACAATTTCGGAAGATTGGTTCCATATTTCAACTGACCAGAATCCAGCAGACATTTTGTCAAGAGGTTGTGGACCTAGGCAACTTCAGAAACGCAAGTGGTGGCAAGGGCCAGCCTGGTTGAAGAATCCGAAGGAGCAGTGGCCAAAGTCAGCTGTAAATATTAACGAAAAGAAAGTAGAGATAGAGAAACGAAAGTCAGTCATCTCTGCTAGTAACACAGAGCTAGAGTCAATTCCATTACAGTTAGCCAGAAGATTCTCTAGATTTTCAAAGATGATTAGGGTTATGGCTTGGATACTGCGTTTTCAACCAAAGGCCAAGGACTTAAGAAAATGTAAGGAACTTCAAAATGAAGAATTGTTAAATGCACAAAGGACTATTTTCCGTGTAATACAAAAGGAATGTTACTCCAATGAAGAAACACGAAAAAATTTGAAAGGTCTTCTAATATTTGAAGATGAAGAAGGAATTTTACGATTGAAGTCCAGATTGATAAATGAGGAAGAATCGAAAGATTTTATTTCTCCAATAATTCTACCATCGAAACACCTGGCAGTGAGAAGATTTATAGCCCAAGAACATATTGCTAACAAGCATGCTGGGACATTAACTCTACTGACTATTTTACGGGAAAGATTTTGGATAGTGAAAGGGAAAAGAACTGTCCGGAGTGTTATCAAAGAATGCTTAACATGTAAAAGGCAAAAGGTAAAACATCTTGAGGTACCTTTTCCGCCTCTTCCAAAAGACCGAACAGAAGTAGCAGCAGTTTTTCAAGTATCAGGTGTAGATATAGCTGGACCTCTGTTGACTAAATCTAAACAAAAGGTGTGGATAGTACTTTTTACTTGCGCCGTATTTAGAGCTGTCCATCTTGAGCTAATACCTTCACTGAGTACCAATGACTTCATCCAAGCTATGCGTAGGTTTATAGCCAGAAGAGGACGAATTTCTGTGATGTATTCAGACAATGGTACTAATTTTACAGGACTAAATAATGCTCTGAAACAATTAGATTGGACTACAATTGAAAGTGAATTTAGAGTCAACGAAATTCGTTGGAAGTTTAACCCACCCTCCTCTCCATGGTGGGGAGGCTTCTGGGAACGCTTGATTGGGATTTTGAAAGATCTTTTGAGAAAAAATCTTGGACGCTCCTGTTTGTCTTACGAGGAATTGCAGACTCTCGTCTGTGAATGCGAATCTATCATGAACAGCAGACCGTTAACTTACATATCCGAGGAACAAGATCTGAAGACCTTGACCCCCTCAATGTTTCTTCAGGACATTCCATTAAATGATGTTCCTGATTTGGATCAAATTGAAAAGACTAATATTGTTTTGAGATGGAGACATATTCAAAAGGTTCGTGAAAATCTAAAACGAAGGTTTAAAAGGGAGTATCTGGGTTTCCTTCGTTCTTCAGTTAACAAAAGAGAAGATAAAATAAATGTAGGTGACATAGTGTTAATTGGTACAGATGATAAAAAAAGGCTCCATTGGCTGCTAAGGAGAGTACTGGAACTCTTTCCAGGAAAAGATGGAATCATCAGACTTGTGAAACTGCGAACTGAAAAGGGAAACATATTAAGACCAATCCAACGACTGTATCCTTTGGAATTGACCCTTTGGAATTGACTGTATCCTTTGGAATTGACAAATTACGAGCAAGTCGTATCGGAACCTCAGAAGGTTCCGGAAGTGGTAGCTGAAAATCCTGAGCTTAATACTGACTCTAATGAAACTGTTCGCGTGTCTCGCTCAGGACGAAAAATAAAACCAGTTAAAAGACTGGATTTATAAACTTCTAAACAAACTTTTGAACTTTCTGTGTTTGAACTCTAAAATATTGATTTCAATTTGCATTCTAATATTTTGAAATATTTCTATTATTATTATGTACGTTATTGTTATCTCAAAATTGTATGTATGTATTATCATTATATTACTGTTTTGAGTTTGTATCCCCAAACTCAAGGTGGGGAGAATGTCGCGCCACACTATCGAACTCCATGAGAGGTAAGTTTCTCTGTTACGGAATGGCAACGAGAGAGATTGTTGTTCAAAAAGATGGATGATCGAACTGCGTTGTTGTAACGATCATTTTTGAGGATGTTGCGTACTGTAAAATGAACTTATTACACTGTGCTAAATAGTATTAAAATGCTATATATTAAAAGATCTTTCATCTGATCTAAATTTTAACAAACCGCTCATTATTTTCTCTTAAACACCAAGTTCACGACATTGTAACCATTTCACTACATAGCAATTTTAATATGTTTAATGCTAAACTGATGAAATTAACTTTATGATTAAGGCCTTATTTATAGAATTGATTTGTTATAGAAAGAAGGGTACTTATCTTAAAATTCCAGGCTTTCGGTATATCCTCACATTTCCGCTGTTTCATTCTCATCAATATCGGAGCCGAAAATCTTTTGAAAACGTGTAGGTTTTGTAGAAAAAACACTATTTCAAAGTAATTTAATTGAGAATCACTAAGGGAAAAGGAATGTTTTACACTTTTTTTACAGAGCGCTGTCAACGTGCAGCCGCTTTCCTCGGTGATCTCAGCGCCTCCCTTTAAAGTCGAGCTCGTTGCTCGTATGCTCGCAGGGGATCTTCATGAAGAGAAAGGGGGAGAATAGGAGGAGTTTTCGAAAATGGGTTTAGTTGCAAGCTGATGTTACATATCTGAGACATATCAATACATTAAATTAATAGTTTTACGGTAAAAATATATTTACGGGTGCCCCTTGGTGATAATTGGCGGTACATGGACCGAGTTTGTGCAATTCTTTGACTTGCTATTTTGGTTCCAAAAATCGCCGCTACACAAATCCAAAATACCAAGTCAAAGAATTGCACAAACTCGCTATCCATGTACACATCCTATTTTCACTTAAAAAAAGTCAGAGAATTGGACAAACTGGGCATTGCGTACTCTCTTGACTTTGTCCATGTACACATCAATCTATATTCACTTAAAAAGTCAAAAGAGCAGCCAACAAACATATATATAATCTCAACCAAGGAGGGAAAGGAGGGAAGGTTCAATCAAGGAAGAACCTCATGGATCTATTCTAACCTCCTTGGTCGCAACAACATGGCTAACGACTCACCCATGGAAGCTGCCATAATCAATCGTGACGTCACACCCGTGACTTATCACGGCGTCATTCTCATTTTGCAGGGACATACAGGGAATGCTTACTCTATCTATTCTAACCTCTTTGGGTTCAATTCGAACCGTGAATCTTGGCGGCCATGTTGCGACTGTCGCTCTGACTCGTGAAAGGAAGTCTGTTATTGCAATATTTTTGTTTTATTTTTGAGGAATGTCATCTTGTGTTGCATGTGGATGTACAAATCTTCTAAATCCCAGCACCACTTTCGAAAGTAACACAATAGAAATTGCAATACAACACAAAAAATTCAAAATTTCTAATATGTATACATTCCTCGTACTGGCTTCAGTACATATACTAATATATACATTCCACCAAATAATAATCCCAGCGCACAAGGATAGATTCCCCTCCTTAATTCCAATACTTCTACCATTGTCGGAGGGGACTTTAACGTCAAACACCCCTGCTGGAACCGGGGAGCTGCAAACAAGAAAGGAAATGACATATTTAACTTCACTCAATCAAATAATTATAACATTCATGCCCCAGACGAGCCCACCCATTACAGGTACAATAGTGCCACCACAATTAACTTCTTCATCTCAAATAACATAACTAACAGATACAATATCTCTGCCATTCCAGCCCTCTCTTCCGACC